GAAAAGAGGGCAGGTCAAATTTTTTACTACAAAAGGCGACATCCAAATCAAACTGGAAAGACCTGACTATTAAATACGGGCAATAAATTTCACCTGGATTTATTCTCACTGCACAGACAATTTTGCTTCATGTTCACTGGGGTTGTATTTACTCTGACAGCTACAACAATTTGAATTTGATTCAGTAGTGGAACAACAGGTTCACATAAATGACTTGACTAATGCTACTAAAAAGAGTAGCATCACATTTTTTTGCACGTGTTTTCTGCCACATGAATGCATATAATAAACTGCACTTTGTCTTTGGCACAACCAGATGAAATAAGATATACGCCCTCACCTTACAACGCGATGAAAGATAGAATTACTAATCACAATCAAAGGATAAGTATAACAAATTGTGTTCTTTATATTAGCAAGAGTAGAGAAGCTTTGTGACACATTCATCATTTGCGTTTACTCAAATACAAGCATGCTACTAGAAAACCGTCTCTCCAGTTTCTTCATAATTTATTTGCATTGCATATCCATGACGACATATGATAACACAATTAAACAATGTTTTCTCATGACAGTTCTATAATTAGACAAAAGATTTCACTTGGCTATGTGGCAAAACTCCTGGCAAATCTACCTGGATCCACTGCTGCGAGACTGACGATAGCCGCCACCACCACCTCCACCTCCACCTCCTCCGCCACCTCCGCCGAAACGACCCATTCCAGGGCCGCCACCTCTTCCTCTTCTGGAGCGAGCATGCTCAATAGTGACCCTGAAAAGAAGAGTGAGAACATTTTAATGATGAGTAAAAAACTTTAATGTTACAAATAGGTCTATAAAGGAAGAAATAAGTGGTTGATTTTAAGTCCATGATAGTCTCATAGTTAGTCATCATTCTGTCTGAGCTGACTTAAAATAAACCATTTAATGGATTAAACTTTGTTTTTAGAAGGGAATTCACTATTAAATGCATCAGACACATCCTACTTCACAGGAAATAAAGAACTGCAGTGATGTTGTCTAGAGAAAAGCTGGAGCTGAAACAGACACTGAATTATTAAACAACTGCCAGAACAGCACACATGCAGGTTATTTTACAGCAATTAGGACACAGTATCTGATCCACAGTTGTAAGCCGTGCATTTCACTGAAACTATTTTTGCTTGAAGTTATTCTTGTATGAATGTTTACTTCTTGTTTTGAGGGACTTAAGAGTCATGTCTCCCACTGTGAATCGTGAGAATTTAGAGCAGACCTGACATTTCAGGAACAACATGGTATTTGTCTGCAGCACAGTACCTGCAGTTTTAGAACACTCCAAATTCAGTTTTGTCTAAACAAATATATATATATATATATATATATATATATATATATATATATATATATATATATAGCGCTGCAAGAAAGCTGCAGACTTTTAAATTCTGTCCTCACAAAATAAAGACGTTCTTCATGGTGGGGAGTAAACATGTTACACCACAGCTAGTATTCAGGAGGTAATCAAAAACATGTAGGAGGAGGGTGAAGACCAGTATTGGCTAACCTTGCTGTGATGGTAGTTAAATGCTGCACTTCTTTTTGGTTAAAGACCTGCCATTTAGTCTAATTAAGAACACAAAGAAACCATTTAAGATTTCAGTACCTTTCACTGCACAATTCTTTGCCATTTAACTCATACACAGCATCATCTGCATCTCTGTGGTCATCAAATTCCTGTGGGGAAGAAAGAAAAGGTTATTTTCTAAAGATTTTGTAAGAATTTGTAATTCACACAAAGAGGTCCGTCAGTCACTCACCACAAAGCCAAATCCATTCTTCAAGTTGATTTCCCGAATCCGTCCATATCCCTTGAAAAACTTCTCCACATCCCTCTCTCTGGCATGCGGGCTCAAGCGGCCAATGAAGACACGACAACCACTCATTGTTCTCTTCTGAAATGAGAAAACACAATATTTGGTAACCATTAAACCAGGGTGGGAGAAACAGTGGCGTAAACACAGCTTAATGTTTGACTTCACTTTGCCAATAGTTTGCTTTAGACATGCCCAAGCTTAATTAGTAACAGATCAATTACTGATGAGAAATGCAGGACAAGATGGCACAAACTGTGTTCATAACTTCAAATCGTGCAGCATCACATCTTCACATTGCTGAAGCTTCTTTTGCTAAGAGTGCCTATTCTGTAAAAGGAGTCAAGTCTTGGAACTTGCAATCGGCTGCAAAATTCATGTACAAGTCCTGATTGGTTCAGCAAAAAACTTGTGCTCACTTCAAGTCTTCTGCAGTTCCTGCTACATGTGCTTTATTGAATCGTGATAAACTAATTTTACCTCCTTATATCTTGCGAATTAGCAACTGCTAACAACAATATGATACACATTGCTGATTTCAGTCCATCTATGCCAGCTCTATCGGTCCTTACTAAAAACAATAAATAAGAACCACAAGTCTATATTAGCATCTAGAATTATCTATTGATTCACACTACATATACACGCCTTAGATCCTAGTTTGAGAAACAGTTTTTTTATTCGTGAAAAGGGTCAGACTAGTATCACTTTAAGACAGGTCTATACTGCAAACGTCTCATGTGAAACTGAGCCAACAGGATTAAAGCAACATGATCCAGATCTGTTCCGACCAGTTTCGATCCAGTCGTTCATGATCACACAAATGCGTAACTAATTATCCGATCTTCTGATTAGACACACCTTGCCTAGCTAAACGTAACGCAACATAAAAAAAAGCCCTGCAATGATTCTCATCTAAATAAAGGATATTAGTTTTGTAGAGGTGTAAAGTCACCATTTATATCTTTAAGAAGTACTTGAAGAATTTGAGGCGACGTGCTGCCGAAATATCGTACATTACAGGTACGACAGGTTGCCATTATATTTTGTAATCTGGGTTGAAATCATCGCAACAGTCGACCGCTTGGGCCTAACTTTTAGCTTGCTAGCGTTAGCCCTTTAATAACGTTACGATGACACGCTGCTGCGAGGTTGTGAAAATGTCTCAATTACCTTAAATCCACGCGACGTTAAAATGAGGAATGTAAGATGTGAACATTGAACATCTGCAACACAGCATTCTAGTTTAGCCGTCTACTTTAAACTTAAGTAAGCTATCTTTATCTTTCGTGCTTGTCCACATCGGTTTTAGCTCGCCTCGAGGTCGATTTCAGTTAGCTATGGCGAGCTAGCTACCTACCGTTAGCTACAAAGACATCATTCACCGTCGAAACATACGAACAGCACAGTTAAATATTTTTTAAAACATCGTTAAGTTAAAACAAATGTTCAATGCGGATTCAGTCAGATTCTCACCAAATGTTCTTCTTCAGAGCGTCTCCGATTTTGTTGTTACGTCGCTGATTAGCTGCAACTTTAACTGCTTCGTCCCTGCCCTAGTCGACTGTATCAAAATGGCGAGTGAGTCCAAAGAACCGTGGCAGGGAACAGGAAATGAAGCTGCAGTTACGTTGCCAGTTTGGGGTTGGTCATTAACCGCCGCAGTTAATACCTAACTTGGTTAAAGTTGACGACTTTGCCCCTTTGCTGTTCAAACAAGTATCGCACCGGTTGTATTAACTTATTAGAGTGAAATAAACATCAGCCTCCATAGTAAAAATGCAGTAGATGTTCTTTAATTATAAAACAAATAAGCAGCGCTACTTTGAATCCTCAAAGAAGGATACAACACGGATTTGGCAACCCACGTTAACCCACTTCTCAAGCAGTGGAAGAAAGTAGTGCTAGAAATCAAGTAGTATCAACTGCTCACGTATTCATACATTATTTCTCTTTTTCTAGTATGATATATTTTATATTCATCTTAATAAAGATATTGTGCTTTGATGCCAATGTGTAATCACAGTCTTCTTTGTCAACCTACTGCTTTTTACATTTACTAAATTACTCTTGCCATCAACTACTGTATATTTAGGCATATAGCGAGACTGAAACCAGACACAGGAACAGTTTCTACCCACAGGCCATCACTCTGATGAACAGTTAACTGCAGACACACAGTGTCAGGAACAATCACTGTAAATAACCTAACATCTACCTGTATACTATACTATTTATTATTATTTATTCATCATTTTTATAACTCAGTAGTTGTTCATGTTGTATATATTGTTGATACTTTATATATCATATCAACCTACCTCATAATAACACCTAAACAAAAACATGTATTTAGGATACTCGACATCCTTTGCACTCTTCTCCGTTACGCTATTTTCTTGCTGTCTATAAATGTTGTTGCTTTTGTTTAAGGTGTGTGTATTTGTGTACTATACTCTGTAGTCTGTGGGTTTTGTTGAGCTTTTTTTGTTTATGCTTGTTCTGTGTATGTACATTAAGAACAAGTCAAATTCTTCACATGTGTATACATACCTGGCCATTTAAGCTAATTCTGAAACTTGATTTCTGAGGAATGCAGCGATCTAGATATTTGAGGGTTTTTAAAAAAAATCTGATAATTATACATAATGATGATAAATAAATACATAACATAAACAAAATTCCTTTAAGAGGTTCCAATACATTTGTTTTTAAAGACGAAGAAAGAAGCTACAGTTTGTCTTTGGAGACAAAAACATATCTTTGGCATTTCTCTACTGCAGTTTAAAATGTTAGTTATTGGGCCATATATACACTGATGATACATCTGTGATTAGCTGTTAATGACCAATATATTGACCTGGTTGATATATCTGTCCAGTTTTAATGAGGCATCTGGAATCTAGACTTGTATATAGTGTTTAGTTTGTTTTTTTTGGCTTATCCGGTGAAAGTGAAGTTAAATCCCTGACAAATCAAAGTTCTTTCTGATGAAAATCATGTATAAATTTTAAATTGCCATACAAAAGTTCTGCTCAAGGCCTAACACACCCATGGCATATCAACCATATCAACCATTGCAAAATCTCTAATCCCAAATTGCCCACCCCTGCCCATACTGTTGGCTATAACAGAAGAAGCAAAACATTTTTTGTTATTCTGTCTCTTTATTCTAGTACTATATCATCATTCTTGAAATTGTCTTGGGTTAGGAAAGGGAAATACGAGGTTAAGGTTGACACAGTATGATAGAAAAAAATACCTGTCTGGTCTGCTCAGTAGAAAGTGCCAAAGACGTTTGAGCATGTAATACTGATCACTGTACAGCTCCTTTCAACTCAAAATATACCAAAAATCTGAACACAATACACTTGGTGAAATGTAAGTCAAAAATAATAAAGAACATAGCTTATTTAAGAACATGAGGAAGAAGTCAAATGATTAATTTGCACCTTCAACCCCATTTATCAAGGTGTTCAGCGGGAATGAGATGATCACTTTTACACATCATGTGATTTCCTTCCTGAGAAAGGGTAGCTGTCCACGAACACACTACAGCAGGAGGGATGGGGAAAGATTAAAATCATGTGTGGCCTGGTTCACTGAGCTTTAGCATTACAAAAAAGCAAGCAACATGAATTAAAATGAGTAAAACTACAAGGAGCCAATGTTTGTTATCATTATTATCATGCTTACAATCGCCACCACCATGAATATTAGAGTGGGAAGTTAATCATTAATGGGGTTGTTTAATTGCATGTATGCTGAAACCACAATGATTACAAATAACTTTATGACATCATATTTTCCCTTTATGAGAATCTGATCTTCTCACTGCAACAAACAGCCTCAGAAGTATGAGTTACTTCTTAAAAAAGGTTTGTTTGCTATCATTTAATTCTTTATCTCTGTAAACATGCCACAGTTTAGATCAATCAAACATAAAATATGGTCTTAAAGGAATAGTCTTTCTGAGAGTTAGATTAGAAGATCAATACCATTTTCATGTCTGGTAAATATGAAGCTACAACCAGCAGCCTAACTTAGCTTAGTATTGCAGGAAACAGGACAAAACAGCTAGCCTGGCTCTGTCCAAAAGTAAAAAAAGTAAAACCACATACAAAGAACGTGTTAAAACGACACTGGGACCAGTAACTTCCGGGAGTCTCTGCTGGTTGTTGGTAATTGTTTGTTTTACACTTTGGTTTTTGTACAGATTACACAGATTGTGTAAAATTGGCTTTCAAGGGACTGGTAGAATTTAGGATTTAGTTACCTTTGGACAGAGCCAGGCTAGCTTAGCTAGTTTCCAGTCATTATGCTAACTAAGCTAAGCTAAAAAACTGCTGGCTGTAGCTCCATATGTACCACACAAACATGAAAATGGTTTTGATCTTCTCATCTAACTCTCGGCAAGAAACAGAATAAGTGTATTTCCCAAAAAGCAGAAACTATAGCTTTGCGGACTTCTATAATTTGAGGGAGAATGCTGCTTTTCTGCTTTTCTTTCTCATGAGAACTCAGCCTTTATTGGTTTAATGGTGAAAGTAGTGTTAGGACCAGTATCACCCAAGAACATTCTGTGGGTGTTAATGTACATTTCCTAGCCTGGAAGTTATCGCACCATTATGATATAAAGACCATTTGGATACAAAAGAGTACACAAAAATTGTACTGGGTCACAAAGTCAACAATTGTCCGTATAGCAGCTAGGCTTTCTTTGTGTCTGTGTCTCTGAGATGTTCACAGATAGTGACTGGGCTGCCCGAGGCTGTATGAACAGCGGCTATTTAACATGAACAGTATTTGCCTTTGATTGTTTACAACCGTTTGTGAACTGGTTAGACTGGCAGCTAACCGCCAGTTTGCTATTTAAAACAAGCCCCAGGTTAGATCACAAAAGGAATAGGAGAAAAAAACCGTGTGGCGTCTCAGTTTAGTTGGATGTTTTGTCAAATTCTTTCAACATGCAACATTTTTACGAGTTCAGACTGAACTCGAGGATCAATCAAATCCTCTCTAACCTTCTAAAATGGCCACACAAAGAAAGCGGTCAACAATACCAACTGAAGGCCACATAGAGGTTATTGAACAAGTTGAATTTGAGCAGATTAGCAGTTTCCTGGTAATGTCACTATAAGTAGTCCAGGTGTCTGTCTAGTTATTCTACAAAAGCAGCTCTGAAGGCAGGGCAGGGAACAAGGCTGACAAAGGTTTAAAAGTTCATGGAAAGGACTAATAATAACGTACTACAAACTTCAGATCTACAAGTGGTTGCTGTTGAGTCTGAATCTCCCTTCCGAGCTCGGGGCTCAAGTCAAAGTCTGCCTTTGTCATCCTGTAGTCTGTAGAAAGGACTAGCAGGGTCTCTGGAGGTCTGAAGTCTCTGGCACCAGCTCTTTTCATGAAGCGGGAACTCTTCTTCTCCTGCCTCTTTACTCAGAGGACAAACATTATGAGGTCAGGTGGTTGTTCAAGCCTACTAATGCCACTTGAGCCACCAGCAGAGGTGGCAAGAAGGTCCAGAGGTCAGTTTTTGTGGGGCAGTTCACACCCTCGTGTGGCGACAGCAGTGGGAAGAGCCGGAGGCTGCTGCTCCAGACGGGGACGAATGGTCCTCGTCACTCGATTCGTTCTGCTCCTCTTTGTGGAGGCCTAGGCTGATGTGGCTCTGCAGGGCGGCCGGGGTTAACCACTCTTTGGGTAGGCAGCTCTGCAGAAAGGGGATGCAGGAGCTGAAGTATGCCAGTCTGTTAACCCAGCGAGGGATTTCCCGTCCACACAGCAACTGAGAAAAGTCAGAATATGTGATGTAAATCATATTGTCTTTGTTTTATTTCTATAAGTGTGTGAGGTATTTAAAAAGCTAGAATTTACCTAGAGAAAAACAGCTAAATCAGTAGATGTGATGGTTTTGTGAATGTATTACATGATATTATTTTCTATGCAGGTATATAGGGATCCACATTTTATATGTATGGTTTTAGTATAAAGGGCAATTCCAACAATTTGGTGTTGCACTTCCATGAAGTTGAGTCTCACAAGAGCCGGATAAAAAAAAAAGAATCATCAAAATCAATGCAGCAGAGGCCAAGTTATCCTGACTTTATACTCTACAATGGGACACTGGATCTTACATTCCCATAATGCAACTCTGTAGGGTCTTTTTTTCGTAACACAGGTTAACAAGACTGGGGTTCTACAGCCATGCTAGCCGCTAATGAGGCGGTGCTAAATGCTAAAGTCAGTTAAGTAAAGTCTAACCTTTTCTACAAAGACAACACACTGATTTTAAGCAGGTAAAATGTTCATCATGTTCACTACCAACACAGCTGAGGCTAATGGGAATGCTGGAAGTTTAACTAGTAAAGGACAAACTGAAATTTTAACCCAATAATGGAGCTAAATGATGGTGATGGCTGGTGATGGCGCAATGGATAAGACGTCTGCCTTTGGTGTGAGAGACCTGGGTTCATTCACCCACTGTGACCCATCCACCATTGTGTCCCTGAGCAAGACACTTAACCCCTAGTTGCTCCAGAGGCGTGCGACCACTGACATGTATATCAATTGTAAGTCGCCTTGGATAAAAGCGTCAGCTAAATGAATAAATGTAAATGAAAAGTTAAGCGATCCGCAAAATTAAATTCATTCAACAGAGTTATTATTCCAGACTTTAGAAAGCTCCCTTTATACAACTTTTTTATCAGCTGCATGGTACACCCTTAATGTGTACTTCTGAGGACAAACTTCCATGTAACTGTAATTTTGTCTTACTTATTTATAGTAGTTAGTCAGCACTGTTCTGTATCTTATAGTTTCTGAACAATGTGTACAAAAGGAGCAAAACAATGTGCAATGTGTACAAAAGGAGCAAAAAAAACAGTAGTTGGCAGTAAAAACAGTAACAGACTGACCTCAGACAGTGAGGAGGAGAAGTGGTTGCAGTTTTTGTGCATTAGATGGTAGGCGTTGCCTTTGAACTCTTTACCAAGCTCCTCCATGATTTTATCCATGTCCTCCTCTGTGAAGTCTGTTGTGCCCAATACAATGGCCTCCCTGTTTGGGACAGAAAAAGGTATATCAGCAGCACACTTATCTCCATCGTTAGCATTAACAACATCACAAAGTATTGTATGCTAAAATGGAGCACACTCACTTAAATTTGAATGTCTCTCCCAGTTCAGCAGCATTGCCAGGGTTGATTTCAAAGATTCCACTGAAAGGGTACGGATGACCCCCGTATGCAAATTCTGTGTGGACAAAGACAAAAAACACACTCCTTGAATGTAAGCACCTAACCCATACCCTAACAACTGTAATTACTCAGAGGCAAGCAATTATTCACTGACACACTGTGTTTAAAGCATTAGGCCTGGCTAATTACAGGCCTATCTGCCCTGCTGTTACAGCAGTATAATAGAAAACAGTGATGAACACAAGTGACGCAGCATATTGAATAAAGTGCCTAAAATTGTTAGCTATGTAGCGACTGAATTTAATTTGAATTTATACATTATATCAACAAACACACAGTGCTGTTTCAGTCATACGGGAAAGCAACAAATATACTGTAAAACAAGTCAGCAAGGATGAAATATGTATACAAAGTAATTTCATTATTAATATGTTAAAGCACTTTAAACTTGAAAACCAGTGGTGGAAAGTAATAAAGTACATTTAGGCAAGTACTGTAACTACAAATTTGAGTATTTCCATTTTATACAACTTTATACTACAATTACTATACAAGGGAAATATTATACTTTTTACACCACTACATTTATCTGACAGCTTTAATTACTAGTTACTTTACAGTTGACATACCAGACATGTAAATTATTATATTAATTGTAAGATATGATGCACTCTAGATTAAACTACCCAACAGGATATAAATAGTAGTAGATTACAATAGACACAACTTGTAGCTGTACTTTTGTTGCTATTATGTCTTAATGCCAGTTAAAGGATCACACACTCCTCAGTGTTAGAAGTATTCAGATAATTTACTTGTAAGGAGCAATACCACAATGTTTGTTTGTATCTTTGTTACACATAGCGGTCCTTCATTGAAAATCTTTACTTATTTTAAGTAAAAGTACAGAAGTATAATCAGCAGAATGTACTTAAAGTTTCAATGAAAGCACTTATTATATAGCAGAATTCTGCAGTCATGATTAGATATTGTATATTTTATTATTAGATTATAATTATTACTGATGCATAAACATATAAAGAGCCTTTTATGGTTGTAGATGGTCATGTAAAGTTTAATCTATAACAATGCATCCCATTTTATAAAATGATCACATTTTTTATAGGTAAATACTTAATCTGGAAGCTAACTAGTAAATATAGCTGCCAAACACATGTAGTGGAATAAGAACCATATTTGACACTGAAATGTACCATAAAATGGAGTACTCAGTACAAGTACCACAAAATATTAGTTAAATAATTAGGTAAATGTATTTAGTTACATTCCACCACTGTCTGTCTTTCCTCTTCAGTTCATGAGGAAATCCCTTCAAATCTCTGTTGGATAAACTCAAAGATTCTTGGTTGTAACTCTAAAACAAGACTACTGAAATGTTTTGATAAAATCCATATTTAAAATCTAGCTATTTTTTTTTAAAAACCTGTAAAACTGTGGTGTGCTCGGTCTCACAAACTGCACAGATTCAGTTCTAGTAACAATATTTCTGGTTGCAAGGGCATAATGGAATTTCCAGTGATCTAGTTTCACGCTGGTTTCTGCCTCTGTTTTTTTGAACCACACACACACAATACACAATGAGTCAGCCGTGACTCAACCCAGAGAAATGGGGTCATGTTATTAGGAACACAATTCCATATTCCATTTTTAAAACCAGACTTCATCTGTGTCTGTGAAAGCATCCTGGTACAAACCTCATGAGCAGATGGTGATGCATAGGCTCAAGCGTGGCCTGCTGTGATTCTTTTCTGATAAACTGTAAAATGGGATTTCACACACAAAGGAGAGAAAGGTCTCACCTCTGCCATAAATCTCAATGCCTGAGTGGAAGACTCCAATACCCAGATTGGACGTGTATTCGTTTATCCAGTACTGCAGAGAAAGAGAGGCAGAGGAAGAGAAGAGTTAGGGATCAATATCAAGAGTTATTTTGTGTTGTATCAGGAAAGAAACAATGCAGCAGCTCTACAGAATATACTGTGAGACTGTAGCCTTAAATAGTACTTCATGTTATATAGTATATTCAATCTCAGACAAATACCTGTTTGCTAAATAAATTATACTTCACATAGCTGTGACTTGTAGGGCTACGTGAAATTTTCATCTTTAATACATAAACATGTAAGTCTTTGAAATTTGGGATCACAGTGATTTTATGGCACTTTCACCAAAGAACTTTACTTTTCAGTTAAATGAATAGTGACATTTTGGGAAATACGCTTATTTGCTTTCTTGTTGAGAGTTAGATGAGACGATGGACACCACTCTTATGTCTGTCCAGTAAATATGAAGCTACAGCCAGCAGCTGATAAGCTTAGCTTATGATCAAGACAGGAAACAAAGGGAAACAAGCTAGCCTGGCTCCGTCCAAGGGATATTTTATTTACATTTTTTGTATGGATGAAACAAATAAGATATAATGTGTTAAATTGTGATATTTAAAGGTATAGATAAGCAGATTTTTTAACCCTTAAACTGAGCCAGGTTAGCTGTTACTCCCTGTTTCCCTAAGCTAACTACCTCCCAGCTCCAGCTTCATATTTACCTTACAGGTCTGTTATTGGTAATGATCTTCTCATTTAACTCAGCAAGAAAGAAAATACTACCCGAAATGTCCACATCTGTACAAGTGCACCCTTAAGTGACAGAAGTGATTGATTGATTGCATTAGATTGGTCTTTTAAAGGTTCAGACTGATCAATCACAAGGGCAGATATACAGCCAATCACAAAATCACTGATCTATCTGACCTGCAAGTCTTAAGTTTGCCAGAGGAATAAGACACATAAGAAAAAATCCTGCTGATGTATGAGCCATCCTGCCGTCCGTCACTGCAGACAATGAGATCATTTATCCCGAGACCACAGCACCCCCCTTCCCATTCCCGCTGACCCTCCTGCACCCTTAGATACCCCAGAGGAAACATGCTAAGAGCTATCCACACTGCCCCAGCTGTCCCCTATAAATAATAGAATATGTTTCCGGGCTCAGAGTGAAACAATAAAAGCATATCCACCTCTATACTTTGTGTGAACAAAGTCTTCCCATGTTTCTGCAGTGACTTCAACCACTTTTAGGCTCTCTAGCTTTTCCCATTTCACACCGGGGAACACTGACGAAAATCTTTTAACCAGTTCTCCCCTTCTTGGAAGGAGAAACAATCTACAAGAAAACACTCTTCCACCTAAGTGTAATGAGGTCGTGACAAACCGACTGTGATTGTGACTCTCTCCTGTGCACATAAATAAGTGAGTCCTGGCAACATTAGTAGAGCTTTTTCAGTCACCATCTTGCAGATATAAATCACAATTCTCTGACGATGTGCCTCAACTCGCCTTGTTTTAGTGAAATCATGCTGCATGCCAACACTGCTGCAACGATCCACGCAGTCTCCCCTACAATCACCTGCCTATATATGCAGACACAGCATGCACCACTACACTCATCTCCCAGTCACATTGATTTCACATTGAAGAAGATCGATTCATCACCAACCCCCCTCGCATGATTCACTCTGAAGCGCCGCCTTCTCATGTCTAATTCTCGGCAAATGTATTTAAGGCTGACTTTGACTGTTGCCGTTCTCATGATCACTTTCTCCCTCTTCAGCAGCCCCCTGCATGACCTGTTAAGTCCCAGCACAGCAGAGCCACACTGGAATTAAATCAGCTGTTTGAGCAGCTGTCACTTCTGGCCCCAATGAGGTCGTCGTCTACGAGAGGGCTTGATGGCAATAGAGAGCTGAGAGACCAAAAACTGCGCTAGGCTTTGTGTTTTTTGAGTGATTTTACATTTATGTATGTGAATATTCCTTAAATCACAGGTTTGGCAAGATGCTTATACCGTGCAGCTGCTTTATATTTGAACTGATTCACGTCTGGAAAGCTAAAAGAGGAGAACACTTTTTGAAAATACTTGACTTCAAGTGAGCAAAAAAAAGCATTTGGAGGATTCAGCTTCTTATCAATTTATGAATAAAGCAAATAATTACTAATTTTTCTCTAAATTTGCCGCCTATAACAGTTTAATAATAATAATAATAATCTTTATTTGTAGAGCACTTTTCAAAAACAAGTTACAAAGTGCTTTAACAAGTGTAAAGACAATAATACCCAAAAGACAATAATACAAAAACAATACAAGATAAAAGCAAGAAAACATTGAAAAGACTAAAATACACGTTTAAGATAAATATAAAATAAGTAAAATAGAATAAAATAAAAGGGATCAAATAAAGTCAAATAAGATTGGGAGGCTCTCCTATAAAAGTATGTTTTAAGAAGGGACTTAAAAGAGTTCACTGACTCAGCCGACCTGATTTCCTCAGTTTAATTAGATATTTATAGAATTAATAGACTTTTGTTATTTAATCGTAAAATTTTATCTTAACCCCCACCCACCAACCTTTAAAGCATTTAAAGGCAGTATAAGTCAATTATTTACAACACACTAGATTTTAGTTTTAAGCACATATGAAGACATTTTAAATGTGTATATATGTATTTTTCATCAACTGTAACTCCTCTCATGAAGCATCTGTAACTGGGTGAGTAGGCTAATTAAGTGATTGACATTATAACACAGTTGTATTCATATAAAATGTGTCTTCTTCACTCTCATGACAAGATGCAGCTGAAAGCTCCTGTGGAAATCTAGTAGGTTGATCTTGAGTAAGGAATTCTTTGTCAAACTACTATTTTCAAGGTCAAGAATGCACCCTAAAGCTCAACATGTCTTTTGAATATATTTCTAACATGTATTAACACTTTAATAAACAGTTTAATATACATATACAGTAGATACCAGTGCATTTGTGAAATATGGGGAGTTGAGGTAAAGTGTTGCCAGTATGAATATATATATACTCCACAATACCACAACTGTTTTGCTGTAAAGTACTTCTGTGGATTTGTTGAGTGATATTCACACAGGAGACTGTTCAGCAGAACAGTATGTGAAGACCAGGCAGTGGGCATATGAATGAATGCAGACCCTTGTCCTTTACTGATGTGTGTGGGTGTATGAGTATGTGTGTATGAATGTGTGTTTTTGTATGTGTGTGCATCATGTGAGCTGTAGGACACAGTGACAGAGGCTGAGGGAAGCTCTTGTTTCATAGGTTTGGGGTTGGAACATGATATTTACTTTCTCATCTTCTTTCTTTCTTTCTTTCTTCTCTACTAAATTATCTTTTTAAGCTCAAATCTTACTGGCCATACTAAATAATAGCTAAATTAGTAATTAGACCAGAATTTGGCTTCTTAATACGCATGTCTGCAGTGAACCAGATACGGCCTTATAGACTGGGAAGCTTTAGGTCTACAGCCGAGGCTCTTGTTTAATCTTTGAAGATGAGTGTGACTGTACTCACCAAAGTCAGTTTTTAGAATTAAAGTAGAAAAATCTAATTTCTTAAGTGTGTGTTAAGTGTGTATTTATATTAACACTCTTTTACTGCAGGCAAACTGCTTGTTTTTCACATTTTTGAGTCCAGCTGGGCTCTTTTCCAACATTAAAATAGCTCTCAAGTGCATCTGTGAAACAGGTGTGTAGTGGGCCTGCTATTTCTAGTGGTGCATCCACTTCCTCTGCAGGTGTCTGATTACAAACACTCCTGCCAAAAACAGAAAATAATTACTAAAAGTGACAAAAAAGTAAGTGCAGTTTGGTGGAGATGGACCCTTACCATATCATACACGTTAAGGATGACAGGTTCATTGGCCATGGTTTAAACCTGAGCTGGAAAGGCAAACGTCCCCACCATCCACGTTTTATGGTTGTCAGGACCTCCACAGCCCTCTGAAGTCACAGGACCACGCGGTGGACAGCAGGAGCAGCGGGAAGGCTTCTGCAGGACGGATGGGGGCTGCTCATAAACTACCACCGCTACTGCATGGACACAGCTCTGCAGGGTGGCTGGAGTAAAACCAGGAAAATGTCCCAAAAGAAACAGGACAAATGAAGCTTAGCGATATGTCACAGAGCCATTATAGCAAGGAAGGTCAGGAAAGCATGAAACTCATCCCAGCGGTGCAAAGCGAGGTGCAGCAGTGTACTCGGCCCGTCTCCCAGCTCCGGAAATAATCTGCTGTAAGTTGAAAACGATGCTGGCAGAAGGTGTATTTGCGAAATAAAAGCAACCACAATAGCTCAGATTTTCACATGAGACGCTTTAGAAGTGATAACATGATCCAGAGCGGACACACACGGCCTACAAGTGTTGGAATCTGAAGCAGGCGCCCTCTTCTCCTCACAGGCGAGAAGGCGACAGCTAAGGCGGACTGATGTCGGTGATGGAGGCGGAGTGCGGGCCATTTTCACGCGGAGGATGTTGGAGCAGCAGTCGGAGAGGACTCCTGAGCCATGGCGGTTAATTACGGCTGATGGGGCGGCGGAGAGTCAAGCTCACCAGCAGCATCCCCGGTTGGAGGTGCTCCTACAGCTGGCCCGCATCCAGCATCCTCTTAGTCGGGAGGGGAGGCTAGTCGGCACAAACCTCCGCGACATGGCCCCCTAACAACACGGAACCGTTTCACCCAAAACCTGCTCGATGAAGGTTTTTCAGTTGTATTTCAGAAAAGTACCAAAAGCTGCCGAGATCCGTATCGTATGGGGTTGTTGTAGCTCTGGCTCCTCTTTCTTTCTGTCTCTCTGGTTCGTTAGATTACATCATATATGCCTCCGAGGCAACATCCTCCAACTAACAGCTGATGGGAGACAGAGCTGCTGGTGGGTGTACAAGGAGCACATTTTGTTACAAAACACACCACTTTTGCTATTTCTGTCAACCAGTGCCCAGCTGAAATATGCTCATTTTCACCTCTATGCTTTGTACTAGCCATCAAAGCCGATCACCGTTTGTAACCGTTCCAACACATTCAACAAGGCACTTTATTTTTTATATCCGATGGCGTAAAATAGCTTATGTTTGTTGTTTTTTTTAACCTAACAACCCCTCACACTGGTGCTACACCTCAGTAAAAATTGTTAAAATCTATATAGGCCAATATTGCAACTATACAACAGGTTTCATTGTTTATTTTGTGATATCAGATTAGTTGAAAATAAGCTAAAGGATAATGCCAAGCTTTACGATTCATTTTAGTCCCCCCCATTGTATAATAATAAGCAGTATTAGCAGTGTGTGGTTATGATTAGGCTACCATATTCACAGAGGACCATCTGTTTTGTCAAAAACGCAAGTGTCCACTTTTAATTTGAAGGTAAACTGACAACATCCAGTGTGGTGCTGTTAAATCAGGGTTATTATTATAATATATTATTATATTTAATCAGGGGCGTTTCCAGGTTCTTGAAACATTGGGGGCTTAGCCCAGTCTAGATATCTTTCATGTTTTCACCTGTTTTCAACCCATTCTCATTTAATTTCATCCCTGCTGAGTCAGGCACACATGCAAGCATGACTGAAGTAGCTTAAAGTCTTATTAAATGTGCATGTGGCATCTAATTAATATTATGAGAGATTTTAAAGCATTTTGACTTACTGTCATGAGAAGTCACACTTATCTCACAAATAACTTGGTAAATTTCAAGATTTTAACTATTGTCCATTAATTTGACGATTATTTTTTGGATTAATTGATTAGTTGGTCTTTTAAAATGTCAAAACAATTGTAAGAAAAAAAAAGTCAAAAAGCCCAAAGCGTTTTTTCCACAACCCAAAGATAATTGGTTTACTGTAATAAAGGAGAAAAAAACGAGAAAATTTAAGATGGAATCAGAGAGATATGAATTTTTTTCCTTAAAAACATACTCAAACCAATTATCAAAATAGTTTGCGATTCATGACAATTGATTGATCAATGGAGCTAATCATTTTATTTCTAAATCTTAATTTTGACATTGTAAATGAAGATTGACTTTGTATAGTATACTTCACTTGACTCAATACCTCATTCTTCATTTTGACCTGATGCAACATCATTTTGATATGCTAATTTTTCCGACTAGCTATCTAATCATCTTGATTTACTATCTATAGTTTTGACTTGAGAGCATTTTTTATTTCTTTTTATTTTCTGCTATTAAATGAAAAAGAAAGGTAAAGACCAGGTGACTTCAACATGTATTTTAATACAGTAGGTGCTTGGATGTAAAACATAACAAAATTTGCAAAATTAGTGCTTCTGATGGATTTTTCTGGCATACATGCACATATTCACATTCCGCTCAGCAGAGCGACATGAAATGTATTTACAGACAACAAGGTCCCACATACAGTCAGAGACAATTGCACGATAGTATCTGCAGACCGACAAATGTGAATAAATACACCCAGCACACACAACTCACTTATTCGTCTGCTCTATGGCCGTTACATGAGGACATCCATGATTGTGGCTAGTGCAAAAACCTTTGACAGCAACTAACTTCTTCAAAAAAAACTCTCCTTTAAAGTGAACTGGATGATGATCCTTCACACAAATAAGCAACTCTATCACAACATACTCCGTATTTCATATTCAACCCAAAAGATAAATCACTTAGCAGAAGGTGTGATTTCAAGCACTGGCCACAAAGCAAAATTAGGAAGAATGTTTAAAAAAGGCAGAGCCTTCAGCTGTGACTGAGCTTTAAGAAATGAGCTGCTCAACACACGATACACATTTAAGGAATGATGTATTTGTTTGTTTTAGATTTAATGGTTCACCCCGAGTGACCTTCTATAAACATACACTTTATAATAAACTCTTCAAAGTGAAACTACTTAGTGATACTTTAAACAAGTGTATTTTGCTATAAAAGGATGAATCTGGTGATTCTTACTGTCAACATATCCCATTAAAAGACCAAAAGCAACAATGAATTGATTTTTTACTAACAAGCGTGATATATCTTATTCCTCTTAATTGTTGAGTGACATGTTCCTTCACTACAATGAACAAGGGCACTGAAGTTTACTTTGACTGAAGATTACACACACCGTGCTACTGTAAATACCATAGAGCACCATCTGTGTATCAATCCAGAAAGTATTGAGAGAAAAACTAACACGTTACTTTTTACAGGATTTGTTGACAATAAGAAAATATAGATTATAGGCAGTCACATCCTTAAATTTAATGTATTAATGGACGTAGTGGGTTGATTTTCATTTTGAACATGATCAGGAGTAACATGAACTCAACACCACCAGAACTTGGAAACAGACAGAAAAGGCACTCTAAAGTCCATTACACAATTTATCACATTACCGGAGACTTTTTCAATCCCACAGCTCAATCTATGGACTATGGCAGGATGCCACTCCTCCCATGATCCTGTGCAATGGTGCAAAAAGAAAATCAAACCCAGTTGCATGAATTTTGAACACTAACAAACTGAAAATACAGTGGGTTTCTCTCAGTCGCCCCTCGGACAGATCCACCATTCAGCGATGGAGTTACAGAGAGGCCTACGAGTGACTGCACACAACACCGTCTTTCAGTTTGTAAATGGACTCTGACTTGACCCACAGATTTAAGTTTTTTTTGCATATACAACCTCTGTCTACGGGGCAGCTGTTTGTTTCTGCCTGAGCTCAGTCCAGCAGCAGGAATGTCATGTGTACATCCTTCTTTATCTCCTTACAATCACAAAGTTTTCTATTAAAGTAATCTCAGTGGTAAGAGAGCATCCTTTTGCATAGGAAGGGTGTCAAGAAGCTACCATTAATCACATAATACACATGAACATGGGAGAAACTCATCAGTGACACCAACACCTACGAATCACAAAAATAACATCTACTGCTTTGAGTTTGTTCCCTTTCACTTCTTTGGCCTTTAGCAAAGTTTTTGATCTTAATAATAATATAAAGATGTTGGCTTTATTAAAAGTGCTTCTTATGGTGCCGCATGTAAAAGAATGCAAAGATGGCTGCAGCTCCCGCGATAGCAGCCAGTATTCCCAGAGAAAAGGCAGGAGATTCGTGCTCGGGTTGTGAGCCTATGGGTCCGTTCATGTGATGGGGAAACTGCAAGACAGAGATATAAAAACAAGAATAAATATTAAAGCTGCATTGTAAGTGTTATTAATGTAGAAATCCACCTGTTCTAAATCACAAATTACATTCTGGTGTTGGGCGAAAAGATGAATCAAATTTAAAACTTTAAATACTTGATGTCACTGTTGGCCACTCTCCAAAGCATAATATGTTCTCAGACTGATTACATCTCTAATACTGCTCACTGCATAAAAGCAAATGTGAATTCGATAACTTGTGGCACTAACAACGTCATTATTCAGCAGCACAGCACAAAGGCTGAGGTATACTCAAAATTAACTAGTTTGCATGAAGTGTCATCCGACCACATATTAAGGCAGAAGTGTTAATAACTCTTCCAAAAAGCCAGACTCTGTGAAAAGCCTGCTGTTATAAAAGACCGAGACGCAATAATTGTTCAAATGGGGATGGCGGTGCATGCACGTCTTTCCTCAAAAGCATTTAGAGGTTGTTTTGTACATGTTTGTATCATAAAACTGTATAAAACATGGACGTAGTCTCCGTGATGTCACCCATGGATTAATAGGTTTCTAAAGAGCAGTTGTGAAGCTCAATGTGGGAAACTCACTATCTTGGCAATGCCTGGCTCAGGCTAATCCAAAAATCGGCAGAACAAATGAAGCATGGTTGCTTAAACTACCTAGTGGCTAACCACCTGTGACGGCACCTGTCACTCAAAGCAGTCCGTCCTTAACTTTGCATAACTTTAAGGCTTAATATAACTTTAAGGCTTAATATAATTTAAACAAGTGAGGTATATAATTATATACTCCACACACACACACACACACACACACACACACACAGACAGTGTATTATTGCTAATACTCCAAAAAAAAAAAAAACACATTTAAAAATCTGCTACCAAAAGTGTTTCATGCAGGATGTGAACTGCCGTGAACTAAGTTCAGGAGGCTCTAGACTGGGCCTGGCTGTGTGATATGAATATAGAGACAATAGTAAGATGGCAGCACATGTAGGTCTGTTGAGATAATTGCAGCCTTATTTGAAATGTCAATCAAAGTTTTAAAGGATAACTACAGTGACTGTTAAGCATATTTCCGGTGTGGAGTCCCTCCCCTCTTCCAAGGTTATCATGTGACTTTAGTTGGAGCTTTGTCAACACTGATAACACTATATAACAAAATATTTGTTCCTGGGAAGTAAGTGCTATTTCCTTATTGCTAATGCCTCAAAAGTATAGCAAATGGCTATTATTCCCCACAAACTACACGAGTACAGAGAAATTCCACTGCTCCAGTACTGAGGCTATCAGTTCCACTTGCTGGCAAAACACTAGTGAACCCCATGATACCACAAGTAGCATTTATGTCATCTGAAATAACAGTCAGCTTATCCAATCATTCATTTAAAATGTTTTTAAATCAATAGAATGAAAACACTATATATGTAAGAAACAGCTAAAAATGTCATCAAACTCATAGAAACTATGTCCACTTTTGCTACGTCATCACACACTTCTTTTGTTACAGACTTGAAGCGGACTTTAATATCCTTAGTCTTAGTGGTTTTATTTGCTTACAGTGTGGCAGCTGTGAACAAATCTCAGGTGTTTAGTATATTTCTTTTCTTGAGGAAATGTTGCTGCAGAGCAGCACGGTTTGTCAGAAAAACTAGAGTGGGATAAAAAGTGAAAGGGGATGTTGCGTTGAAATTATTGCTAATGTTTAGTTTAGACACAGTTCCCTGATATTACATTACAGGATTCCCCAGGGCTTCGCATTGTGTTTTACAGCAGAGGCGGGACACCTCGCCTAAAAAAAAAAAATCATATAAAATTAATACACATTTGTGAAATAAAACATTAGCCTTCAAGGAAAAAGAACAGAAGCGCTAATTTAACAAAAGCCACAGGCTATTGTTTAGGCCATTGTTTCACAGAGACTGAAAAGCTCTGGAAGGCACTATAGGGGGTCTCTGGCAACCAAAATGACTTTTAATAAGTATTGTATTACATGTGCAATCACCCCCCCCCCCCTTTTTTTAATGCTAAGCACAAACATCAACAAACCACTCAAAGTTTTGAACACTAGGACAAGGCTCCCACCTTTTTCAGAATACGGAGCTCCACGTCCTCCCCTGCTGTCCTGAAGAGCTCCACCGCAGCTTTATGTGTCCGTTCCTCAAGTTTGACCCCATTGATCTACAAACGAAGAAGTGCTGTTCCATTCATCAACACCTTTAAACAAATGACTGACCTTCAGCTAAGACTGAAGTTAATCATTCGTTTCACATTAATCATGTTCTGATGTGTTAATTAATTAAACTATTTTCTGAATTACAGTATTCAAACACACAGTTTAAATATATAAAATGTCTAATGCCTTGTTATGTCGGACCAATACTCCAATGCCGGAAGTTTTTCAATTTATTACAAAGAAAAGCAGCACATTTTTGAAACTGAGAAGCTGATACAAGGGAATAGTTAGCAATTTTTTCTTGAAAATATATTTGCATGATTAATGGATTTAATGAATATTCAAAACAGTTGCTGGTTTCGGTTTTAAATTCAATATTCATTTAAAATCAGAGGAAAAACAAAAAAGTGCTATTTAATATTGTGTAGTTACCTACAAAAAATATCAACCTCTACATCCTGCACCCTTGATAAAAGTCAACATGCATTACCGCCAGGATCTTGTCCCCCTCTTGGAGTCTTCCATCCAATGCTGCAGCTCCATCTTCTTTAATTTTGGACACATAAATCCCACTGTCATTCACAACATACTGCTGGTCCACGCCCCCAACTATATTGAATCCCAAACCTAAAAAAAAACAAACAAGAAAACAAACACAGACAATTGCATGAGATAAAGATGACAATACAGTTCAACAGGCACAGTGCATTTTTTTTTTACGTAAACAGGACAGAGGTTGCGGATCCACACATGACATTTATCTCAATGGATCAAAGTACAACATAAATCACTCAAACGCTGTAACGTATTCAGAGAAACACCAGTTCACATAATATTACATAACAAGTACCAAGTATAAACTGTGTAAAGAAATTAACTCTCTTGAAGCTAAATAAAGCTTATTAACTATCCAGCACCACAGAGAAACTGCCTGTCACAGTCTGACAGGCCGAGGACTTGCGTTAACTTAACGTTACTTTTAAAGCTTTTAACCCAACGTTAAAGTGCATAAATCCCTGTTATTATTTATTAAACTGAGATGTTAGAGTCCAACCAGCTTCCACAACCCAATTCATCTGCTTGCACTACACGATAACTCGTGGTGGGGAGAAGTTGTGTTATTTTTGACTCGCAAATTAGCCATTAGCTTCAGGGTAACACACACTAGCTTCGCTACCGTGGATTTTTTGCTGCTACGTACCGTTCCCGTTAGCTAGCTACCAGCGTCAAGTTATTTAGTCTTCTTACCTGCCGGTCCTCGCTTCAGTTTTATGTCCACCTCGTTAGGTGAGGAATGCAGAGAACCATTCATTTTGCAAGACGCCAAACGATTAAAATATGTCTTCAGAGAAAAGGGGCGACAAACTATTTATCTGAAGGTGAACTCATTGAAGAGTTTCGATTTGCTGCCTTCGGCTCAGTGGGTGGTTTGTGGTTGTGCTGCCCTCAGATGGGATGACGCAGAACTGCAGGCCGACATTTAAATTATGAAGTAGAGAGGCAAAATAAAAGATGTTCTGGCATAGTTTACACTGTAGACATGTCCCCACCACTTTTTAAAAGCATAATTTGTTAAAATTTGTTCTGTCTCTCTCTCTATCTACTTAGGTAAAAATAGCAATACTACAATGTAAAAAACACTATTACAAGTCTTACATTCAAAATGTTACTCAAGTGTATTATCATCAAATTGTACTTTTGATAGTTTCAGTCAGTGGTGGAAGAAACATTCAGATAACTTAATTAAGTTAAAGTCAATCAATACCACACTGTGAAAATAGTCTACTATATGCGAAAGCCCTGCGCCTTTCTTGCAGTGAGAACCGCGTATTTCTAAAAAGTAAACTTTTCATGAGGTGAGAAAAATCGCCCTGTTAGCTTTGTGATGATGCATTTTCCAGCAGATCCAAGGTTTTTTAATGGTTTATTTACCTTAAGAAGTGAGAGAATTTTCTCAACCCATTAAGGAACTGTATCATATAAAATCATTTGGTTTTCATTGGACAGGGAAGGGTCTGAAAATTTGTAATCTTAAAAGTAACTAAAGCTGTCAGACAAATGTAGTATAACCTAAAATGTTCCCCTCTGAGATGTAGTGGAGTAGAACTATAAAGATGCATAAAAAGTAAATATTCTAGGAAAGTACAAGTAACTGGAATTTGTACATAAGGACAGTATTTGAGTAAATGTACTTAGTAATTAGTAGCAAAATATACTTTAGTAACAAGAATTCCTTTTGACACTTTCAGTGCCTATTTCTCAAGTTTTCTCTATTTTATTTTTAATTAGATTGCGCGTTCTCTTAGCACTTTTTTCATTCTGTATTGTACTTTTTAATTTATTTCTACTTCATTTATATTATTTTATCTTTATTTAATGTTCTGTCTTTTTTGTTAAAGCACTCTGAGCTACATTCAATGGGGCCGGACTACACCGTCAAAAAAACCCCAAAACTGCTTACAGAGGATTACATTTGAGTAAAAGAAAGAACAAAAGCAGGGAAACTATCATTTATTGTTTACAGGCAGGTACAATATTCGGAATCATACTGCATTATCAGTCATTATTTGTTTGTTGCCCTTTATTTTATAAGCATATAGCCTCAAAATATTGTACCACTGTCATCTTTGGCAACAAATCAGAGCTCATCCCTCCCCTTTCAAAAGTATTACTTAAATTTGAGTCTCACTTCTTTTTTTTTTTTGCTATTAGATTTGACTTCAACATGAAATCATAATTCGTAAAACGTTAAGCGACCCTCCAGTGAGAGCTCGGGAGGATTAATACTGACGGAGGGAGGAGCTCGGTATATAAATACATGTAAAGAAACTTCATCATTAGCATGTATATCACCAGGCCGGGGGGGGGGGGGGGGGGGGGGGGGGGGGGGGTATGTCGGCCAGCACTGAAGTAAGACGGTGAAAAGGAGACCAAGTTGATTTTCAGCAGCACATTCTCATGCATTACAAAGGCTTATCAATATATTGATATAAAGGACAGAATAATAAACATACACATACTGTAAACAAAATACAGCATACTAGTGGAAACTGTATGAAATATTTGTCATCATACTTTTCCACTTGGCCTACAATCTTTTCATTAGGTATAAATTAATATTTCCTTACAACGCTTGTTTTAGATGCACTTTATCTCATTCACTACTTGGAAACTGTTATGTCCTAAAATATATTGGATTGTGAGTGGCTAAAAAATGAGATGTCATTCAGAAAAAGCACTGCAGTGCGCAGACCTGGGTTAATCTTCCATCTGTTCTATAGTAAATGACAAAGTGCCAGGTGGGCAATTTGCTGACTATTGTGCCTCAAAAACTCCATCAAGGTATTTGAAACGATTTCAAATACGGTGGTGAAGTTCGACCCAGGCCTCCTGTACAGCATGTGGTTTAGTGGCTCTGAGATTCAGATCAAACTTGGGGCGGCACTGTGGAGGATGATGTCTCCAGTCACTCGCAGCAGGGTCACTTCCTCCAGCCCGCCGACTCTGTGCTCGTACTCCAGCAGGTGGGTGCCATCCACCGCCACTTTAAACATGTCCTCTTCCACAAGGATCTTCAGCTGCAGGGAGAGCAACAGAAACGTTATGCACAACAAGCCACAAGTTGTCATGGTTCAAGTTAGGGTGACCAGACCTGAATTACGTGCAGTTGTCTCCACTCCAATCCTGTTTGTCCGAAAAATTAGACTAAACCTGAGTTTTGATTAATTACAGCCCAAATACTGATCATTTGGGGCAGTGGTTGCAGTGGTTAGCACTGTCGCCTCACAGCAAGAAGGCCGTGGGTTCAAACCCCGGTTGCCCTGGCCTTTCTGTGTGGAGTTTGCATGTTCTCCCCGTGGGTTCTCTCCGGGTGCTCCGGCTTCCTCCCACCATCCAAAGATATGCGGACTAGGTTAATTGGTGACTCTAAATTGCCGTTAGGCATGAGTGTGAGTGGTTGTTTGTCTATGTGTGGCCCTGCGATGGACTGGCGACCTGTCCAGGGTGTTCCCCGCCTTTCGCCCGATGTAAGCTGGGATTGGCTCCAGCCCCCCGTGACCCTGTACACGGGATAAGCGGTTGACAATGGATGGATGGATACTGGCTACAGCAGGGGCTGCAGGGTATCTGGACATAACTGAACTCTATTGACACAAAGTAACACGCATGCTCTTTTCCCCCTTTTTGTTTTCTAGAAGATAGTGGAAGATACAGTTGCAAAGACAGGAGGTGTGTAGCTGCAGGCACCCACGGAGAGGGAAAGATGACACACGCATTGCGCAGACAGATGTGACAGGCACCACACAGATGAAATTAATTCAATTGTATGTGACAGATAATATTTAAACACTCTTACTAGTTGACTTAACCTGTTTTGCTGTTAGTTGACACTGAATGTAATGTATTGGAGGCCACACCCACCCCTAACCCGCCTGTCCCGAGTTTCATCTGTTCTCATCTGGTCATCTTTAGTCCAAGTCGTCATAAGTTTGATGATCAATTAATCAAAGAAGTAATTTTTTAAGCACAAATGCCAAAGGATTGTGTGGTTCCAGCTTCTCTTAATTTAGATATATTTCAATCAATCAACAATCAAAACAAGCATTTTATAGATCAAAAGATGAATTCAGAAAACTACAACTTTGTGACGCTAAGCTAATATAAGCTTATTGATTTCAGCTGACAGAACACTGCAGGAAAATGTCTTCATTTACACCTTTAAAGAGGTGTTAGATCCGTTTTAAATCTGGAGTAACACCTTCCAACAACCTTTCATACAAGGGCGGGAGAAAAACCTGTTTGTCCCTGATGGGTTAAAAGATTTTACAGACCTGTGACACTGCTTCATGTCACAATGTCTAACCATAGGGTTTCTAGTATACCCATAGTACTACACATAAATAGAGAAAAGCCTGCTGAGCCAGATTTTCCCGCTCTTCTCAGCTTGAATGATATGTTAACATTTCTGTAGAGCAGAAAATGCAAAACACTATTTCTTACATGATGAATCTCCACCGGTAAGAAATATTTTTCCACATGTGGCCATCTTTCATGACGTTTTGGAAAATAATCTAATTGCGATTTTTTTTTACCAATATTGCGATTATGATTTAATATGCAATTAATTTTTAAGCTCTTTACCTCCTTATTCAAAATGGACAAGCAGTAAATCAGTATATAGTATGACCAACACAATATTAGATTACACATACACTGTTCTTTCTTGTAGGCCAGGCCTGTGTTATGATGAAATTAGGTGATGCAAGAATTGCATGAATTATTGTTATGAGCAATGGTGGAGAAGAAGTATCCATCCATCCATCGTCAACCACTTATCCTGCGTACAGGGTCGGGGGGGGGGGGCTGGAGCCAATCCCAGCTTACATCGGGCGAAAGGCGGGGTACACTTTGGACAGGTCGCCAGTAGAAGAAGTATCAAATTATAATAATATGAGAAAGATAATTTGAGAGTCATGTCATGGCATTAAAGAATATGATAAAATATCATCAGGTCGGCCTACCTACAGACCACAAGAAAAACAAAGTTAACGACGAATGTATTAAGCGCTCAATACAAAACCCACAATTCCACCACCAATTAATGAGTCTATCTCAAAAACCTTTAAAAATACTCAGTTTGAGGTTCAATTGAAAAGTTGGCCAACGAAAATCAAACCAAGACGACGCTTCTCGTGTTTAATAGACAAGCTTGGTAATTCTCCAACACCGGCTGTAACCAGGCTGTAACTCGGGACAGACTGGGCCTCTTTCGGACTTCACAGATATTTCCTGAGCTGACTGGTAGCTGTGTGTACTTTGGCTTGTGATACCAATCGCCACAATACGCTTACCTTACTACACGTGTCTTTAAAAGTTCTTTCAAAGTTTCTTTAGTGTCAGCTTCTGTCAAGGTTAAGGCCATTGTACAACAACAAGTCAATACAGCGTAATGTGCAATAGTTGATGCTTCCTCTGCAGACTGGTTTACTCTCACTTGTCATGTGACCAGAGCGTAATGGCAGCCTTTGCGATTAGAAAATCTGGTTTTATCATATCACGATAATATTGCAAATGCAATTAATCGTTCAGCCCTAGAAATGTAACATTACTGTTTAGAACATAGAAGTACATCATGTCTGATAGAAATCAATGAAGTGTATTAAAACTGGAGCTGAGGACCACGGTCCTGGGTAAATGATGATGTCCTAATACTTACACATGACTAACAGTCTAGTATCAAACATAAAATGAGTTGCATCTGGGTTCAATATCTTGTGTGACACACAGGACTTGAATGTGAATGAGAATGCCTTTCCCCCGTGGCCCACTGAGTAATCACGATCAAGCTAGCCAACAACTTGGAGCAAAACGCCGCTGCTCCAGCATTTGCCTGAATTGGTCATTGGTCTGATGTTACAGGTCTACAGGACTAACGCT